CCAAAGTAGGAGGAAGAACAATGTTTTGTATAGTATGTTATGCCAATTGAGCTTGATGTCCGCTATATGATAAATTTCTTGACATAGACAAATAAGTGCCTCCAGAGCTGCATCTGTTGTTGAAACATCTCACTGGATTTTCTGTCACTCACTGGAGCCTATTTTTCACTTCAATGCAGCTTTAATTTCTTCCATAAATCCTATTGGTTCTTTTATCATATGCTACCTCCTGAAATGAACATCTACCAATTGTTTTTGGTACAGTGACTCTCTGTATTCCTTCCATCTTCTTTTGATGCTTCCTACCCATTAATGTTTTGCCCATACAATCCTTCATTACATAAATTTGAGACTTAAATTTTTTCTTCAGCTGATTCAGCTTGATAAATGCAAAACATGTTCTTCCCATTTGGTTTTCTAATTCCAGGTCTTTGGATATCTCCTTATAACACTTTATTTTGTCTTCTCGAGGCACCCATTGGAATCTTCTGTTCAGCTCTTTTATTTCAACACCTCTTTCTTTCACTTAAGTTACTCTCTGTTGAAGAGCAAGTTACAGAGTCTTTTCTGATATCCATTTTGTTTTTTTCTTCCTTTATTGTCTTTTTAATGACCTTTTGTTTTCTTCAGGTATGATATTGCTTATGTCATCCACAACTACTCTAGTCTTCTATCATTAGTGTTCAATATGTCAAATGTATTCTTTAGAAGATCTCTAAATTCAGGTGGGAATACTCAAGGTCCTATTTTGGCTCTCATGGATTTTTGTAATTGTCTTCAGCTCCAACTTCTACTTGGGTGTGAGCAGGTGATGCTCTGTTCCATAGTCAGCTCCTGGCCTTGTTTTCACTGCGGGTATTGAGCCTCTTCATCGCCTCTTTCCACAGATGTTTTCAATTTGATTCCTGTGTATCCCATCTGGCAAGGAACATGTGCATAGTCACTCTGTGTTGTTGAATAAAGGTATTGTTATGAATAAGTTGTTGGTCTTGCAAAATTTTATCATGTGTTCTCTGGTGCCATTTTTATTACCAGGCCCATATTTTGCAACTACTGATGCTTCTTCTTCTTCTTTTTTTTTTTTTTCTCTCCAACTTTTGCATTCCAATCAACAATAATTATAAATACATACTGATTGCATATTTGGTCAATTCAGACTGCAAAAATTTTCGTCATCTACTGTTTTGGTCATTGGTGTGTAAAGTTAAAAGTAGTGGTATTAACTGGTCTTCCTTTTAGGTGTATGGATGTTACCCTATTACTGACAGCATTATACATCAGGACAGATCTTGAAATGTTCCTTTTGATGGTGAATGTGATGCCATTCCTCTTCAATTTGGCATTCCTGGAACAGTAGACTATATGATTATCTGTTTCAAAACAGCCAATACCAGACAATTTTAGCTCATTAATTCCGGGATTTCAATCTTTATGCATTCCATTTCATTATTGGTAACTTTCAATTATTCTAGATTCATACTTTGTACATTTCATGTTCTGATTTTTAATGAATGTTTTAGTTGTTTCTTCCCATTTTGAATCATGCCACACAGCACAGGAAGGTTCCAAAATATTTACTCCAACCACATCATTAAGGCCACTCTTCTTTAAGGAGGCGGCTCTTTCCCATTTGTAATTTGAGTGCCTTCCAACCTGAAGGGCTCATCTCCTGACATTATATCAGACAATGTTTCATGGCTCTTCATAAGGATTTTCAGTAATAGGATGGACTGTGTTTCACTACTCTTCATAAGCTTTTCAGTGGCCAGTTCTTTCAGAAAATGATGGCCTTATCCTTCTTCCTAGTCTTAGTCTTGAAGCTCTGCTGAAACCTGTCCCCCATAAGTGATCCTGCTGGTATTTGAAATACCAGTGGCATAACTTCCAGCCTCAAAGCAACATGCAAGTCAACACAGTACAACACACTGACAGATGAGTGGTAGAGGGCATTCTAATGGTTAGTAATTTTTGTGCTATTTTGTTTCAGATTTATATGATTATGTGCATATTATGTATGAATTACAATGTAAAATATGTATCTTCCTTTATATTATGGTCAAAAATGTTTGAAATCCACATTTCAAACCACTTGAATGACATACCGAAAGAGCTGAGAGTATGAATGTTTCTAAAATATTAATTATCAACTAAAGCAAATGAATTGCCTGGTTTCCTAACCAAAACCCATCAGAAAAATTATCCTTACCTCTTCTCAAATCTTATGTCTCTGAATTTTACACACAGATTGGGCAGAAGTCAGGAGCCAGACATGAGAAACCATACGACACTAACCACATTCATCCTTCTGGGACTGACAGAAGATCCACAACTGCAGATTCTGATTTTTATATTTCTGCTGTTCACCTACATGTTGAGTGTAACTGGAAATCTCACCATCATCTTCCTCACATTAGTGGATGCTCACCTTAAAACTGCCATGTACTTTTTTCTCCAAAATTTCTCCTTCTTAGAAATCTCATTCACCTCTGCCTGCATTCCTAGATTCCTATACAGTATATCAACAGGTGACAGGGTCATTACTTATAATGCTTGCATAAGCCAAATGTTTTTCACATACCTGTTTGGAATAACAGAATTTTTCCTCCTGGCTACCATGTCCTATGATCGTTATGTGGCCATCTGCAAACCCCTGCATTACATGACCATCATGAACCACAGGGCCTGCATAAAGCTTATCTTAGGCTGCTGGTTAACTACTGTGTTGATTCTATTCCCACCCCTTAGCCTGGCATTGGGTCTGGAATTCTGTGATTCTAATATCATTGAGCACTTTTTCTGTGATATGAATCCTATCCTGAAGATCTCATGCACAGATACATGGATCATAGAACAAATGGTTCTTGGGTGCTCTGTAATGATCTTTATCATGACTCTTGTGTGTGTGGTTTTGTCCTACATATATATCATCAGAACAATTCTAAGATTGCCCTCTGCCCAACAAAAGAAAAAGGCCTTTTCCACCTGTTCTTCCCACATCATAGTGGTTTCCATCTCCTATGGCAGCTGCATCTTTGTCTATATTAAACCTTCAGCAAAAGATGAAATGGCTATCAATAAGGGGGTGACAATACTAATCACTTCTATTTCCCCCATGTTAAACCCATTTATTTACACTCTGAGGAACAAACAAGTCAAAGAAGCTTTTAATGAGTTAGTCAAATGGGGTCTATTCCTATCAAACCATTAGAGGAATAATGACATCAAGGGCACCAAACATATTTTCTTAAGTTTCCATCCTATTTTTTCCCTACCTGATCCATACTTAAGCCTATGTTTTGTAGCTAGTGTTATAAAATGACTCCTTGCTTTCCTGATAAACAAACTTCTTTGACAATGATAAGCCTCAGTAAGAAAATAGGAGAACATTTGCTTCAGGAAATCTAAGCATGACTTCATGCTTAACTTTGCCTTATAAAATATTGGTGCAGAAGTGCACATCACTTTCTCCAAAACAAACCTACTCAAATGAAGGGAGAAATAATGATATTCAAAAGAATCAATACTGATGACTTCCAGTAAGATGGCAGAATAAGAAAACAAGCTAAGCAGACGCTCTTCAACAAAGAACAGAGAAGCCAATTTAAACAGGTACAGAAGATAACCTTGGAGCCCTGACATTGAAAGGAAGCATACAGAAGTGGATTAGGTACCAACTAATGGAAAAACTTGAATGAAAACAATGAGTATGGAGACGGATGGCACTATATAGACTGTCAGCTACTCTGACAGCACCAACAGCTTGAATATTTCCAAGTGGTGTTGGGATGTGAGAATTTACCTAAAGATCAGCCCTAGTCATCAAGGGCTGCAGGGACAACTATGCTGGTGGCCTATGACTAAGAAGGGAAACAGCAAGGAGGAAGACAACCTGAACTGTGGACTTTCAACTGTCCAAAGGGCACAGTCATTTTCATTTTTTACGAGCAAGCATCCATATTGATTCTTTAAAGTGACTGAAGGTGTAGCCAATTTGAATGTTGACAAGTAGTGGCCATAATGGATTTTAAAGTGACTGCATTCTCATTCTGATTCCAGGGAACTAAAAATAGACTCCATTTGCCAAATGTGGCAGGAACATAGGAGATGCTGATGATGGGAAAGGAGAGAGGTGGTGAATGTATAAGTGCTGCCAACTAGCTAATAGAGGAGCAGAGTACCATGCTTATGTCAATAACAATAAAAAAAAAATTGGGGGCAAGTCACTCCAACATACAATCACCAATTAAATATAAAAACAAAAAATTCACAATGTCTTAGAGACAACAAACCATCACAGTCCACACAAAGAAGCAAGATAAACCATGAGAACAAGGAACCTGAATACAGATCCAGAACACATCCCTGAGGAAGAAGCAACATAGAAATGTCCTGAGAAGGAATTCAAAAGAATTATATTTAAGTACCTTCAACAGATTGAATGACAGATCAAAGAATACCTTGACAAAACTGAGGAAAACTTGGAGAAAACCCAGGAACAATTTCAAGAGGCAATTCAAGAACAAAATGACTAAATAAATGAAAAATTAGAAATGATACAAAATCTACAGATAGAAATCCAGATTCATACTAAATTTTCAGAAATAGATACCACATTGAATGGGCAAAGGAGTAGAATTGAACCAATGGAAGACAGAATTACTGAAATTGAAGACAAATATCTCAATACTTCTTTGGGAAGTGTTCAAACAGAAAAAAGATCAAAACAAAATGAAGAAAGGAAAAGGACCATGTGGAATACCATCAAAAGGAATAATCGATGTGTAATCAGAATTCCAGAACAGGGAGAAACAAATGAAACCACAGAGAAAATTATCAAAGATTTGCTGGAAGAGAATTTCCCAGGTATGATGAAACATGAGAACATATCCATTCAAGAAGTCCAATAAACCCCAAACAGAACAGACTTCAACAGGAAATCACCAAGATATATCATCATCAAACTCACCAAAACCAAAGACATAGAAAATATCCTGAAAGCAGCATGGGAAAAATGAAAATTTACCTACAAGGGGCAACCAATAATACTAAGCTCAGATTTCTTGGCAGAAACCATGGAGGAGAGAAGACAATGGAATGGTATGTATAAAACCCTGAAAGAAAAAAATGTCTAACCAAGAATTATGTACCCAGTAAAATCGTCCTTCAAATTTGATGGTGAAATTAGGACATTTCCAGATAAGCAGAAATTAAGAGAATTTTTTAAAACCAAACCAACCTTACAATCTTACTAAAGGCAGTCCTATGGGCAGAAAACCAACAACAGCAAACAACAACTGATTATTAACACATATGATGTTCCAGAAACCAACCCAGTTATGGAAGTATCCAAAGTAATAAGGCTACAAGATTGTAAACAGAATCAGAAACATCAATTGACAAATGAGGACAACTACAAACCAAAAAGAGGGAAAAAATGTGTCATTACAGAACTTCTAAATAGTAGGGAAGTCAAGACAACTACAAGATAGAACAGAGTTCTCTAAACTTGGGAATAAAATTATAAATCACAGAGTAACCTCAAAGAAAAATGATAAACTTTCACATCAAAAAAAAAAAAGGACCAGCACAAATATTTAGCAAATACTAAAATAATAGCAAAGAAGGAAGTGATAATGTGATTTGTAAACAAAACAGCATAAAAAATTATATGGAATTAAGAAACCAGAAACACCTTGAAAAAGCACATAATAAAATGACAGCAAGAAATTCATAGTTGTTGACAATAACACTGCCAACGAGTAAAAAGAGAACCTACAGATTGGGAAAAAATATTTGGCAATGGCATATCTGACAAGGAACTTATCTCTAAAACTTGTGGAGAAATCCAACAACTCAACAACAAAGAGAGAGACAATCCATTTAAAAAAAATGGGCAGAAGACATGAATAGACAACTTCACCAAAGAGGATATTCAGGCAGCCAGCAAACACATGAAGAAATGCTCACAATATTTAGCCATCAAAGAGATACAAATCAAATACAAATGAGGTACCATCTTGCCCCAGTACTAATGGCAAAGTTCAACAAGACAGAAAATAACTAATGCTGGTGAGAATGTGGAGAGACTGGGATTCTCATACACCACTTTTGGGACTATTAAATGATACAATCACTGTGGGAAGCAGTATGGCGATTCCTTTAAAAACTGAAATTAAAATACCATTTAACCTAGCAATCCCATTACTAAGTATATATCCTAAAGAGGTGGAATGAGGACAAGAACAGATATATGCACACCCATGTTCATCACAGCACTATTTACAACAGCAAAAAGATGGAAACCATCTACATCCCTGTCAACAGAAGAATGGATAACCAAACTATGGTACACACACACAATGGAATACTATGCAACACTAAAGAATAATGTAGATTCTTCAAAACCCTGCATAACAGAGATGAACTTGGAGGACATTGTACTGAATGAAATAAGTCAATCACAGAAGGACAAATATGGTATTAGTTCATTACTATAAAAAATCAAGGAAAGGTTTATATATGGAAGGAAACTTTGTTGGTTATCAGGGCTGAGAGGGGAGGGGAGGGAACACTGAAAAAAAATTTACCCATGTCACTTTAGTTTTGTGTATTTAACTGAACATAAATTATATTTCAATAAAATATATTTTATGAAAAAATATGTAATACCATTTCTAAGCAGTGACAAGGAAAAAGTTAAATCACTTGAAGTATATTTCAATACAAGAATAAGTATAAAGATTGGGAATTCAAAAAACAGCATATACTAAGGGAAAAGCTTTAAAATCATAGGATTTGTAGATATTAATGATGAGATGCAAACTAAATGAAAGACGTAAAAATTCTTGCCTAAAAGGGCATGAATTCAGTCAAGAAGAACATAGAATTACATTGGTTATAACTGATAAAGAACTAAAGAGTGCACTGCATTTAATAAAACAATCAGGATTAATACTGATGGACTACCTGAAACATTAAATCTTGAGTATGCAGTAATTAAATTAAGCAAAATATGGCAGCCAGTCCAGAAAAGCTAATAAGGTAGAAGGCTGATAAACAATCAGCAGAACAAATATACAGAATATGGAGATAAGAGAGAGAAAGCAAAATGTGGAAATGAAAATTTATAAAATAATTCACATTTGGAAAGTGTAAACACAGTTATTTCAAGAGTCCAAAATATGAACCCAATAATATTCTTAAAAAAAATAAAATCTACACTTGATTACCAGTTGCATGGTTCACTATTTACCACTTCTGCGGTTCAACTTTGCTTGCTGACAGTTCAACATATTAAACCTCCATTTATTTAAGCTACTGTTCATCCTTCCAGCAGTAATATTCCTCTCATTTTTCAACTGTCTAACCTCCTCTACTCCTCCTTGTCTCACTTAAAATGAAATTCCCACCAGGAATCTTCCTCTGACCTCCTCATCCTCCACCACCACCAGGCCATCCACACATTCCTGTCACAGGCAAATCTGCTGCTGCTGAAAACTCTTAGAAAACTGCAATTTTTTGGCTTACATGTCTGTATTCTACTCTAGATAGTAAATGCCATGGAGATTGTCTGTTTTGTATGCCAAATTCTAGCATGATTTGCATACTCCTTGTGACCTGATTGTTGACACTTCTGACAATACAAACTATAACTTAATATGTGAAAAATGCATACAAAAATACAATAGTACATTTTTAATTTATCTAAGAAGAAAGGAAGAAAGAAAGGCATGGTTAATGTTAACTATTGTGCCAGAATGCTTTAGATTTTGTTTTATTTCTCAGTGACAGAGTGAGGATGAAAGCAAAAATGATATGGAAATTTTACAATACAGATTAACCAGGAAATAACCCTGCAAGCCGCCACTCACTCGTCTGTCAGTTTGTTGTACTGTGGTGGTTTGCATGTTGCTGTGAGGCTGAAGGCTATGCCACTGATATTTCAAATACCAGCAGGGTCACCCATGGTGGACAGGTTTCAGCAGAGCTTCCACTAAAATACACATGGGAAAAGAAGGTGGCCATCCACTTCTCAAAGAATTGGCCTGTGAAAACATAATGAATAGCGGCAAAGCACTGTGATATATTATTGGAAAATCCTATGAACAGCCCTGAAACTTTGTCCCAGATAGTGCTGGAAAATGAGGTGCTCATATTGAAAGGCACTCAAAATACGACTGAGGAAGAGCTGCCTCCTCAGAGTAGAGC